GCATGAGCAAAACCATGGAGGTCTGAGGGCAGAACTGGGGGTGTAGGGGTTGTGGAGGTGCTGGGGTTAGACCAGATGCTGGAGAGATTGTATCAGCTACGGCATGATATCACTCTTCTCTGTAAATGAGCTTGAAAATAAACAAGCCCAAGACAAGAGGATTTACTGGAAGCCCTAACAAAGAGGCACACACTTTGTAACAGGAAAAAAACAGAGAGAGAGGGGTAGAGAAGGAAAAAATAAGGCAGACAGGGTCTTAGAAGGATAGTGTCTCCCACCTAGGTCACATGGACTATAGAACAAGGACCGTGGGGATTATAAAGCAATAGATAAAGCAAATAGTTCAGGTCAGCAATTTATTTCCAATAAACCAAACCCAGTTGAAAGAACTCAGTAGTAAGGACTTTTCAGAGCTTGAGCCTTCAAGTTTGACAGGCAGAGAGGTAACACAGGATCAGGACTCTTCCGGGCTTGAAAGTGCTTCTCTCAGGTACAGGCCCACACCCGGGCTCTAGAAGGATTGAGAATGCTGTCAGTTCACTTCTCTCTCAAAGCAAAGTCTCAGTAGTCATCTCAGGTATTCAGTCTTAATAGTCTAAGGATGATGGATTCCTAAGGCAAGAGCTAGAGAGATTTCTAGGGAACCTTCTAAGAATGGAGGACTGATCCCACTTACCTATTAATACCAGCCAAGGAAAATAGACAAGAAACCTACTGGGTATTTATTGAACCATTATATTACAGCCCAGCACTTATCTTTTATTATTAATTCCATGTGGCCTTGAAATGAGTAACAATGTAATCCTTGAATAAAAAGATGTTGGGTATTTGCTTTAGGCATCAGCAAGAATGGGAGATGAAAAGCACTTTTCTGAGACCTCTGTTTCTAGAATTGTCCATAGCCTACTTTTGAATCATAGTCACCCTGCTGTCCAACAAAAGGCATCAGAATCTGAGTGATGAGCCTGGAATGTGATGTTTTGTCAACTCTTTCAGCTATAAAGGCAGTCAATTGGGTAGAAAGGAGGCAACAGGGAATTAGAAGAATAGAGAGAATCTTGTGACGATTAATTTTATGTATCAACTTAGCTGGGCCACAGTGCCCAAATATTTGATCAAACATTCTGGATGTTTCTGTGAGGGAATTTTTGGATAATAGTTATATTTAAATCAGTAGATTTTGAATAAAGCAGATTGTCCTCCATAATTTGGGTGTGCCTCACCCAATCAGTTGAAAATCCAAAGAGAAAAAAAGGCTGACCTCCTGACAACTTTTGAACCTAAACTGTACCTCTTTCCTGAGTTTCCAGTCTGTAAGCCTTCCCCATCAGCTTTTGGACTCACCAAGACTCCACAACTGCATGACCCAGTTCCTTAAAATAAATCTCTCTCTCTCTCTCTCTCTCTTTCTGCACTCATCTGTTGGTTCTGTTTCTCCAAAAAACTCTGACAAATCTCTTGACCTTGAGAGTTAAGGCCTATGGAATCTAATTTGGATCTAAAGAAGGCTTAAGGTCCAAGTCAACAAAGAGCCCCATGTGGACTATCTACCATTTACCTATAAGATCATTAAGGAATCAGTCACCAAATAGGCAGTAGCTGGCAGCCTAACAAGAGAAATAGTAACCAATAGTTAAGGTTTATTCATAAGCAGAGGAAAGAGCATAATCAACCCTTGGTAACAAAAACAGTTTTCAAAAAGACAGCACTCCTTCCAGTGTTCAAGTAAACATTTTATTTATTTATTTTTTATTTATTTATTTATTTATTTTTTGAGTTGGAATCTTACTCAATCGCCCAGAGTAGGGTGCAATGGCACACTCACGGCCACCCCAGCGTCGATCTGCTGAGCTCAGGTGATCCTTCTGCCTCAGCCTTCTGAGTAGCTGGAACTACAGACACACACTACCACGCCCAGCTAATTTTTAATATATTGTAGAGATGAGGTCTCACTAAGTTGCCTGAGCAGGTCTCAAACCCGCAGTCTCAGGCAATCCACTTGCCTCAGCCTCCCAAAGTGCTGGGACTACAGGCTAAGCCACTGAGCCAGGCCAAGTAAACATTTATAAGGCCTTTTCAGAATGGTACAAGATCAAGAACCATAAGCCTGAGCTTTGTCACAAACCACCCATCTGAGAACTGTGAAATAGCCTCTAGCCAGAGTGCATCTGACAGGAAAGAAATGAGTTCTATTACCAAATGAGAGTAGGGCGGAAATAACAGAGTTGCTTTTATTTTGATGGATGATCTAATAAAAAGATATAAAAATGATTAGAAACAATAAAATTAAATCACAAAAATATAGTTCTTTTTGTGCTATGGAGTGGATTCTTACATTGGGTGGAAGGTTGTACTACATAATTTCTAGGAAAGCAGTAAAAAGCCATGACAACAATCTTTCATTGCTAGCAAGCTACTCCTAGCATCCTGAAACAGCCATAAATAAAACAATCACAAAATGTTGTGGAAACTCAAGTAGACACAAAAAAAGATACACCACTTTCCATTCTCCCCTGCCACAGGGAGTTCAAATCCCACCAGGTATTTCTCTCCAAGACAACCAATGTGATCCAAGATGGTGGGTCTTGAAATGGACGTGGGTGTCCTAGCCTAGCCATTTGCTTAGAGTCACCATTTGCTTAGAGGGGTAATTACAATGGCTCAGATAAGATTATTGGTCATAATATCCCTAAATTCACTGAAGGCAAATGCAGAATCAACAGAAACAGAGGCTCCACATTCTAGAAATAACTGGTGTGGAGCTGAGAGGTAGCAGTGGAAGGAGGAGTGGTTATCACTGCAGTACTGGAAGCTCTTCAAAGAAGCTGGTACCCCCTTAATGGAGAGGTGCTTCCCCTGAGATGATCTGCTTCAACTAGTAGGAACTCTTCACCCAGGCTTTTGAGTCCCTTTAGCATCTCTGACAAAGTTTGCCAAGCCACCTGCCAGATGCTAAATACCTCAATTGCCTTTTCAATGAGCCAATTCTAAGCCTCCAGGCAGAAAGCCTCCTCGCTAGAGCTTTCCTGCAAAGTCCCAAGTGCTGGCTGCATCCCCAGGACATATGCATGCATTAAGATAACCTGGTGACTGACTGCCTTACAGATTTAAGTTTCCCCAGAAGGATCAACCATAATCAAATAAAGCACACAACGGATCTTACCACTGTGTCAGTCAAAAATTACCACACTTCTCTTTTGCCAATATTATCTTTTCCAGAGCTATTCAAACCCTAACGTTGTTCACTGGGAATATAGAGAGTGTTCTCGGGGAAGATCTGTGTGCCTCATCTTTGCAGGCTCACGCGGGAGGCCTGATGCTTCCACCTTGCCCAGTTGGCTTTCCTCAGTCTCTCACCCTTCATCTTTTCTGGAACCTCCTTATCAAATAATTTGCTTCCTCATCTTTTCTCCAGTTATTTTTCCCCTCCCTAGACTTGACTGTCTTCCACAAAATATGTTGATAAATGAAGCTTTCCCTCAGGAAGGAGACCAGTCCAAATTGGCAGAGACAGAAGACCACAGGATCTAAAGAATGGGTTGGGCCTTGTAAAAGGAATCATCTCGTGCTTCATCGCCTGGCTTCACACCAGTCATTCTCCTCGGTCCCAAAAGCAGAGATATGGTTTTGGTTTTGATTTACATTTGTGTTCCTTTTCAAAGATTTCACAGAAATTATCATTTCCACTACTCTCTCGGGTTCCTGACCACGTTCTGCCTCCTCTAGAGAATATCTTACAGGAAAATGGTATATTTAAGCAGCTGCAATATTACACCTAAGACAGGAAAATCATGGGTTTTCCAAGATGATAAGGACAGTATCTGAAAGCTTCTCCCAACATTCCTTTTGTCAGTTAACCGCACTGCTCTCACTTGCCAAAGTTCACACCACCAGTAGCCAATTTACCAACATTCCCACAAGGGGGTGTCATTCAAGAAGACTCATCTGTGTACCCTTTCAATCAGTCTAAAACAAAGTATGCTCTTTTGGGGTTCGGGGGACCCACTTTCACTTAACATTAACCCCAATATAAATATGTGTATAACTGGAAAGAGGAAAAGGGTGCTGGAGACAGACGTATGTCCCCTAATGGAACTGGCCCCCTTGTAAGATGTGGAATTGCCCTCCTTAGGGATCTTCAGGTAGGCTCTGCAGTCCTTCTGCAAAAATGTTTATTTATTTATTTATTTTTGTTGAGACAAGCTCTCTCTATATTGCCCAGGCTGGGCTCAGCATTCCTCCTGGGCTCAGCATTCCTCCTGCCTTAGCTTCCCAAAGTGCTGGGATTATAAGGGTGGACCACCATGCCTAGCCTGTAAAAGTATTTTAAGAGAGCACTATAATGACAGAAATTGGCCTCAATGACTTCTATGGCCCTTTGTTCATCTGATCCCTAGACTCTTGTCACTAACTAGAAAATAAGAGGCAGAGCAGGAAACTGTACCTCTCACAAAATCTCTATATTGTACCAAAGCAAGATTCTACCACTAAACAAATTTATTACAATTACTTTAAAAATCATATAGATATTTTAAATATCTATATGGTGTATACTAACGTGTAATTGAAAACAGAAATCTTGGAGACCTTTTTCAACAAATGTACTTGTTCTCTCCCTTCCATCCTTGCTGTATGTACATAGTACACTTCCCCTGTCCCAATGGTTGTAACACCATTCATATTCAGATGAGTCTCAAATTGAAATCTTCAGTCCTGATGTTTCTAACTACCTGTGTCCTATGTCCAACACCACCACTGAAATCTTAAAGCTGCTCCCTTAACTTTGAGGCAAGAGATTTAATTGGGAATTAAGGAATTAGAGTAACAGAGAGAATCTTGGAATATTAAGTTTATATATCAACTTGGCTTGAGCAATATAGAGAGAGGGAGGGAGAGAGATAAGGATGAAAGAGGAGAAAAGACGCACACACAGATACATATATATTTAGGTAAGTATTTATTTTTGTAAATATATTACAAACTACCAGGCAGCCTCTTACCTCTGATGGCTTCGTGGTGCATTTTCCTTTTCCAGAACACTCCAAGTCATTTGTGAGGCTTTCCACCGGCATGCAAGTACTGGCCTTCACCACCAGAGTTAAGCGCAAAGCCACAATAGATTTGGTAACAGAGTCATTCACAAAACCTAAAAGAAAATGAGACAATAGGAAATGTAAACCTTTACCAACAACCCTTCTATAAGATTAGGAATTTCATTTAGGTAGCACTCAAGTCTGACAAACAAAATAGCATGCAGTAAAGCAAAGTGATAAAGCACATGGCCACTGTCCATTCAGATTCAGGCCTTTAAGACAGGCCAATGTTCCCAAGTCTCATGGGAAACCCTTAAGGCCAAGGAATGCAGCGTCAGGCACTTCTGTCATCACCTCAGATTCATTAGCTTTGCTCCTGCCCTTGCCCTCTGTGGGCCACTTTGTCTCCCAATTTCATCCTGGGGCTCACATCTTAGAATTCAGTCTGTTTTTGAACCCCAGTCTTCTAGAGAGCAACTTCTCTGCATAATCCAGCTTCTCTGTATCACCCAACTCTTCCTCCTGGCTATTTTGGATGGTCACAAGTGCTAGAAATCCCCAAAGGCACCACTCAGTTACCTGCCTGCCCTAGCAGGTGAACATGCAATATGAGTACATATTCTATGTTGAGTTTATTAATTAACATCTTACTTGATTGCCAATCTGACTGCACAGTATCAATTTAAACCATGAGGTTTTAACCATCTAATAAAATGGGATTTATGATAGTTAAATATTGATTGCAATATCATTGACAAGTCATATTTGTCACTGAATGATCTTTATGTCTGGTGCAGCCATTCACGTGTAGTAAGTGACAATAAACATAAAATAAATCTATAAATAAACATAGTCTAACTGGAATGGAGAAATACTGTAAGCATTTTTGCATCAATGAATTATTTCAATAATTGAGCATCTTTTTCTAATATGAATATTCACTTATATCTAATTTTAAATTTAAAACAAAACATCAAAGTTCATGAATATGACAAAATATTCACCACAATGTCCTTAGTTCAATTTAAGAGTAAAATCAACTCCAAAAGTCACAGTATTATGAAGTCATATTCACAAATACGTTTACAACAAAAGACTTCTAAAGCCAAGGCAGTACCAGGAATTAGTGGAGGCAAGATAAAGAGAAAATAATTGATTCTAGGTAATTGAACTGAATTCCATTATCAGGAAAAGAAGTATATTTAGATCCCTACCTCACACTATACCCAAAAATAAATCTAGGTGGCTTAAAGAGCTAAATATGAACTAAAAACTTTAAAACTCCAAGTGGAAAATATAAGGGCTTATTTCATTGATCTAGAGGTAGGGGATTTCTTAAACATAATACAAGAAATAAACTATAAAATGGATTAATCAATTTAAATGTATCCAAATTTAAATTATTTATATAGCCACCATAAACAAAGATAGTTAGCAAGACACAGCCTTGGAAATAGAATGTATAATGCATGAAACTGAGAGGACAACAATAGATTTAGGTTAAGAGCGTGCTATTGAGAGACCCAAGAAACCAAGAAATTAATTGCTGTAAAAGTAGCGTTTAGTTCACTATATTTCATATATCCCCACCTCATGTTTACTATATATTTTGTGTATTCCTACCTCTGTATTTTATGAAATCTTAGTACTTTAAATCCTACCTCAGACCCCGTAGAATTAGGCATATGTCAGGCGCCGGGTCATGACCAATTGTATAATGGCATAAGTAGTATTTGTATTTAGAACTCTTGGGTTAAGCATTGTCAGCCCCAAATTAGTAGGCTAACTTCTGCTTTTACAACGTGATGTAAATGATAAAGCGATAAGCCCCTTTCAGACATTCCTACAAGGTGGCAGCAGACTCAGAGGCGCCAGCTGCTCTCTATCACCGGATTTTAACCCAGTGATAATTTACACGCAGTGGCTATGTAAACCTGAAGGGAACAAAGACTTTTATAAAAGAAACCGCCTTGCTATAATACACTTGTGATATTTTATAAATTCCCAGAATTAGTATATGATTTTCTACCCCACATTCACTGTATGTGTTTGCAGCATTCATATTTAAACCTTTGTTAAGTTTGGCTTTTGTTGTCCCATAATGACCATGTTATGTTATGTAAATGTTAAGCAAACAAGCTTTCCTAAGCATACCTTGGGATGGAAACTTAAAGGGCTAATGTAACCCTTTGCCTGCCGGCTCAGGTTACTTCATACGCAGGGACTGCATGGACCTAACTTATCTAACATTCCACTCTGCCCATTAAGTGGGTTTCTGTCAATCACGGGCAGCACCCACCAATATCAAGTGTTCCCGTACCCATTAGGAGAAATTACCCAATCATGTAAAATCAAGTTTAAAGTTCTTTCCCCTCCCTCTGTAATTGTGCATAAAAACTGCTTGCCATTATGAATCAAGGCTCTCGTCCCTGAAGCTGCTGCTTCGGGCGTGAGCCCAGACTCGAGCCTGAATAAAGACCCTCGTGTGTTTGCATCGGAGCTAGCTCTTTGTGGTCTCTATCTCTCACATTAGAGTCCCGGGTTCAACAAAACCAGCAAATGATTAGCTGTCAGAATATATTTTAAAAATTATTTTTGCAACTTGTTTTTTTCTCAACATTATTTATGTTTATATAAATATTAAAATCTATGAAGCATTAATAAGTACTGTTATGCATATAAATATACACATACACAATAAAAGTATATAAATATGCAAAGAAAGAAAGAAATATACCAACATCAAGAGAAGGAAAGAAGGAAACGGAGTGGGCAGGGAGGGAGCTTCTGACTGTATATATAGTATTTATTTCTTCATTAGTAATATATAAAATATGGCCACTTATTAAATCTTGTGTAAAAAGAAGCCTCATATTCATTTCCATAATCTTATGCATATTTTAAATAATTAAATGAAATCAAAAATTTTAAAGGAATGCATAACCAAATTTTTTATTTCGATTACTTATTACAGTTTAGGCAGTGCAACTTCAGTCTTTGACAGGTAAGAAAAATAAAGTATCCTGAAACCTAGAATTCACAGTTCCAAAATGACTTTGTGGACCCCTTCTTTAGACTTTTCTAAAAGTTTATTTTCCTCACCATTTGTCCTTATAAGTACACTGCATTAAAAAATAATAAACTGGATAAGAAACAGAACCCACATGGATTTTCCTTGCTTGCATGGTACTTAGCGTCATTTCATTAACTGATACTTACTTGAGAACATGTTGCTTCTGTTGATACTAAATTAGCAAACTTCCCAAATATTTTCAATGTTCTAACTTTAGGACTTCTTGGACACTAAGGTGTTGCACAATCCTAAAACTTGTTATCAAAGATTTATTTAAAGTGTTGCTTGAAGGCCAGGCTCGGTAGCTCAGCCTATAATCCCAGCACTTTGGAAGGCTGAAGTGAGTGGATTGCCTGAGCCCGTGGATTCGAGACCAGCCTAGGCAACTTGGTGAGACCTCATCTCTACAATAAATCAAAAATTAGCCGCACATGGTAGCGCGCACCTGTAGTCCGGCTGCTTGGAAGGCTAAGACGGAAGGATTGCCGGAGCCCAGTGAGTCCACGCTGGGGTGGCCGTGAGCATGCCACTGCACTCCAGCCTGGGCAATGGAGTGAGACTCCAACTTAAAAAATAAAAATAAAGTGTTGCTTGACACACTAGGATTCCCTTTTCTCTTTTAAAGAGAAAAGAATTTTGATAAATTTGGTTTAGAAAGTTAAAATAGACTTCCTACATTGTTTCTTTTTTCATGCTTCTTTTAAAAGTTTTCATAAAAATAAGACATCTCTCATGCTTTCTCAGCTATTTCTGTTTGTCCTTAGGGGAACATATAAAAAAGGCATCACAAATATCTACAATGACTGAAATCTCTTCCTGGAAACAGATTAAAACTCTAAAAAAGATTAGTAGGAAGTGCCTACATTAAATAAGTATTTATAAATATAAATAAAGGTAATGTCTAAGTATATATTTTATAAACATGTAGTATAGATATGTGGAACACACACAAAATTTTAATGTATAGTTATGTAATAAAGGTCCCTGAGAGAATGGATCTTAAAAATTTTTTAAACCAAAAACTACCTTTCAGAGACTATGAAGAGCTTCTACTTTCCAGAGTAAAGGCAAGACTTTGTCTATGGGACAAGGTGTGCACTCTTGAGGGACTGCTTTGGAAGCCCAGTGATCCTTCCAGTCATAAATCATATAAAGCATATAGTCCTTGGGGGCAGTCCTGACAGACTGAATTAACCCACACAGATGTTTCAGGCTGAGATCTTAAATGTTTGTCCCACTAACATTAATCTGTAGAGCTGTATTCTTCCTATTAAAAAATGTGGAGGGTAGGGTTCCCTTAAATTGGAATCCATACAACCACCTGTCTACATTGTTTTATGTGAATTTTGGTCTAGCTATCTGCTCCCAGGAGCTTCAGAAACTAGGACTTGGGGAGGAGAGAAGAAAGACATCATCTTCTCTTTCATCTGGGGCAAAGAACTATAAAAAGCTATTGACCTGGGCTTGGGACAAAGTCACCTGGATGAAAACAACTGCTTTTGCCCTATGCTTTAGAAAGGCACCAATACATGCAGGACCATCAAGGTTACCTTATCCAGGCCATCACATACTAGAGGTGGGAGTAAATAGATATTCCACCATCTGCCATGCTAAACAGAGGGTAATCCTGGAGCAAAAATTAGAGCAGCCCTTGAACTACGGGACAAAAGGAATTAATTCTCTCTGGATGGGATTTAGATATGGTGATTCCTAGAGATCTCTTTGGTGCCAATACATTGTCAGGAAAGTTGTTAAGGTCCTCAAGCTCTCAGAAGTATTTCTAGTAGCTTTGGTAGGTTGACCTCTGAGTTGTATCTCTGTATTTACTGAGAATCCAGTCAAGTCTCATGAAAGCTAAGTCAATTTCCCATATTCTATGCAGAATTAGGAAGACAAGTGTCTCCTTCCCAAAATCAGAGCACTGAAATCAGAGGCACTCATTAATGGGGAGAAGACAGCCTGACAAAGAGATCATCTAATAAGTGTCAAGCAGAGGAACACAAGGAAGCAGAGGGGGCAAGGCAAAGGACAGGGATAAAG